ACGGTTAGAGAAAAATGCTACATAAATTTGGTTACATTTTTGTTTTTCAAACATTTTAATGCCTCTGTGTATCTTACAGTTTTTATGTTTTGATTCTTTCCCAAAGTCAATGCTACAGCATTTTAAATTTATTATACTTAGACAGCCGCCCATCTTACCTGCCATAACCCCAGGCAGCTCACAAAAGAGCAGTAGAAACATCCAAACCCGTAACAAACACTCCTCCATATATCAACATTCAATTTTGCTGGGCTCCACCCTTACTCTACCCCAACATCTGCAGAAAGCGCCAGCTTTTCAAGGCCTTCTGGAAGGCTAGCAGCCTGGCAGATATCAGAGGGAAAAAGTATGCACAGGGCAGGGGCAGCCAAAGAGAAGAATACTTTGAAAAATCTATTTAATCAGCAGCACCAGAACACCCAAAATGCGATTTATTTGTACTTTATTTGTGGAAAATTAGCTTAAACATATCTACTGCAAGAAAACCAGTACCTTCTTTTGCTTTTTTTTATGCCTGACTACTCCCAAATTTATACAATTACTGTATATCCTTAGATTGCTATGTAGATATCACCCCTTTTAGATAAAACACAGATAACATCAATATATGTAGATGATTTGTGTACTGCTAGGTAGCATTTTTATACTGAACCAATTATGATATGTAGTTTTGAACCACTGAATGTCATTGCAAAACCAACATAAATGTAGAGTGGCAAAGAACCAGAAAATACACACAAAAGTTTATTTGTATTTCTTATTAGAATATAACCTCGTTTACTGAAGTAAGAATCCTGTGGTAGCAAAATAATGTAGTTTGTATGAGATTGACTGGATTAATGAAAAAGAAAAGTAATACTGTTTCAAGTGTGTAATCTGATCTTGTCAGTGCAACAATTCAGATGAAGAAAGGCTGCAATCTTTGCTGTTTCACTTTGTGTGCCATTGCATCTGGACCGAATACCAGCCCCAAAAGAAATAGTTACAAGGCTAAGTTTTCCTCAGGGAGCACAAATCAGTTTGTCAAATTTGCTACAATGGTTCATATAACCTTCCCCAGCTTGAATGTCCGCCAGGTATACAGGTAGTCCTCGCTTACCAACCATTCATTCGGCAACCATTCGAAGTTCTGATGGTACTGAATGAGTGGTATGTACAACCGATCCTAGAAGTTCCGGCCATTGCAGCTTAGCAACTGGCTCGCACTTATGACGGTTGCAGTGTCCCACGGTCATGTGATCATCATTTGCAACCTTCCCTGCTGGCTTCCCATAAGCAAAGTCAATGGGGAAGCTGGCAGGGAAGGCCGCAAGTTGCTCTGCTAAGTCCTCCAGCCTGCTTGTGCTGCGCCACCCACTGCCGCCTTCCTGTGCTCATGCTGTGCCATCCACCCACTGACATTTTTGCTCTCGCACCGTGACATCCACCTCCTGGCCTTCCTGAACTCGTGCTGAACCATCCAACCCCTGGGCTTCTTGCACTCGTGCCGTGCCATCTACCCTGTGGCCTTCCTGCGCTCATGCATGGCCTGCACTAGGCCTCCCAAGCCCTCCCCCAGCCTCCTCCGTGCCTCCCCTGGTCTCCCCAAGCTCCTTGCCTGGGACTCCTACCACTTCCCGCTTAACAACCTGCACGTCTTGTGTTAGGACGGCAACGGGGACCATCATCACTAAGCAATGAGGTCATGTGATGTCGCTCTTTACGATCGCATTGCTTAGCGATGGTACTCCCGATCCCAACTGCTGTACCGGAGGACTCCCTGTATTAGATTATGATCATGCTTTCTGGGGATAATGGATATTTTATTCTAACAGGCTTGGACAGCACCAGACTGGAGAAAGCTGGGCTAATGTCCTGGGTTTAGATTTGTGGAAACCCACATTCAGACCATTGTTCACTGATAAAGCTCACTAGATATCCTCTCTTTTCTCAGTAAGCCACCTCACAGAGCTGTCATGAAGCAAATATGCTACCCTATTCAGTGAGTTTATACAAATATAACAAAAGTTTAGAATGTAACCAGGGAGACAGGGTCCCCAATTGTTTACTCACTAGCCCCTTATTTCCTGTAGATACTAACAGCATTTCCCCAGCCATCCTATTTTCTGGGTTCAGGCAGAGAGATAGATTCTTATCTCTCTTACACTGATGTCTGGAGAAAAGTAATAAAGTCTCTCCCTTTCCAAACTGCAGCAGAAGGGAGAATTCCGGAAGAATTCTCTATGCAGCTGGCATCTTGCCCACCAAAGGACAAGGGCATTCCCACCTAACAAGCGTGTTTCACCAGGAGCTGTGGGATGGGCAGAGATATTTCGGTCCAGCCCCCCAGCCAAAGGAAGTGTTTCACTGCTTCCTGGGTCAAGAGAAGACTGAACCCCCTCTAGCTAAGACATGCAGTGAAGGCATCTGCTCCAAACTTTATAGGAGAGAGGGCACAAGAGAAGATTCTCACCCCAATTTCAGGCTAATGGCTGAATCTGATTGTTTTTTCTAGTGAACAAGGCCAGAAAAAGGCCCAGCTTTTTCATGGGATGACCTATTACTATGCCTAAATAGGCCTACAACCCAGCTCAAAAATCTGTTACACTTACATGAAAATAAATTTCAACAAACCAAATGGGATTTGAATACACTAGAGGAAAAGAGCAGGATCTCAACAGCCCAGATTTCTGTTTGGTTACTAAAGCATCTCAAACTCTGGACTCTGACCAAGGCAAGGGTCCTGCCCTTTGAGTTGAGACTGATTTCTTATCACTTTATGGTCATATAGTTTTCTTGGCATGTTATGGAAGTGGTTAGCTACTGCTTTCTTCCAATTTTGTTTTTTACTTCCCAGTCTAGCCTACAGCCTGGCAGTCTCTCATCGAAGCTCTGACTAAGCCCAAACCTGCTGAGCTTCCAAGCCCAGTCAATTTCAGCCAGGTAATGACCCTAGCAGTGATCTCCAATGTTACAATATAAAACAATAATTCTCAGGTTTATGAACTATAAATTATAGTTCTTATAAGCCTGTGGGCATATTTGGAAAGACAGTAGATAGACAATAGATAAAGAAACGTAAGGATGATAATTTTATTTCTGATAGTAGATACACACACACACACTTATTGACAAGGCGTGGAATCAAATTATATCCAGCACCAAAAACTGAAAAAAAAGGCCTGTTATCTAATCCCTTAAGTTTAATAAGTTTACAGTTAAATCCTCACCATAGTTTTTAGATCAACAGTTGACAGTTTTTGCTAAGTTGGGTTTTTGTCTTCTTTTATGTAAACCCAGCAGTGAGAAATTCTAGATCCATGGCACTCACCCCAATTTCTTAACCATGGTTTAGAAATCAGGAGCAAACCCTCCAATCGTAATCATGTTTTAACTACAACCATCATTTTCTAATCATGTTCAAGTACCAATTAAAGGAACTGTGGTTGATAATCATGTTCAGGAACAGCATGTTTGACAGAGAAAGAGAGAGAGAGAAGGGGAGGGGAGGCAGACAAACATCCAATCTGGCCTGCTCTCTCTCAGCCATGGTTGAAAAAGGAATGAAGAACATTGTCAATTGGAACGACTGGGGCAGAAGGGCTTCATCTGCAAAATGATAACTACCATATGTATTTGTATTTCTCAAACAATATCCTAGTACAAAAATAGCCAATATTACCTCAAGTTTGTGATATCTTATCATTTTACCATTCTTACATATGAGATTATATACTAAATGCAATAACCACCAAATCTGTTGTATATGCCTTTGGTAATCAGATCTCCACATACAAGAACCACAAGCAAGGTTTTTAAAAAATCAGAATCTCAAACATTCCTTGCATCTGGAGGGAAGGAGAGAGGAGACCACAAATATCTTTAAAAATTAAGTCTTGATAAGCTAGAGAGAACTTTAAACTTGCTTCAAAAAATATCACCTCTCTCTTTTCTACTATTTACACTATCAGCAGATATGATAATTCAAGAGAAAAATCATAGAATTAAAGAGCAGAGAGGCCAGAAAAATAAGACGTAGCATTCCAAGCCACTGCAGGATGCTCCAGCCTTCACCAGAATATTACTGGCCATTAACCTGCATAATCCCAGATCAAACAAGTAGAGAACTGGAACCGACATGGTACAGCACACTAAACACAGCTCCCACAACTCAGTAAATGCTCCTTGTATAGGAAAAAATATCTTTAGCCACTAGGAGTATTTTCATTCTTTTTCAGGTGACTGGACATATATATCAGATTTTTTCATCCCTGTTTTTTTCCCAAAGGCCCCTATTCCCATCATAATATATCCATACAGCTAAATCAATTACTTATTTCATATTTTAAAGGTTTAGGACAGTCCTTATTTCTAAAGTTTTGCTCTATCAGCCTAATTCCAGCCTTCCATCTGTTTAAGAAAATGGTCTATCCTGGTTTCTAACCGGAGGGACACTGCAAGGCAAGACCGTCTATTTATTTTGGGATGGGATCTTAAATCACCACGCTTATGACCAGTTCTGTTTCGCTGTTTTTGGATGCCAAACGTACACTCTTCTTCAATGACAGATTCAGCATGTACCCTAAACAAAATGTCTCCAGATCTACCTTCCCAATCCCCATTTTGAAGGGATCTTTGAAACCGCCTCTCCCCCACTAAAACCCCAAATATTCAACACACACACACACACACACACACACACACGGCAAGATTTCAAAGTCATCCTAATAAGATTCGTCCTACCAGAGCTTGGATTTAAGCTTAGGTTTAAGCCAAGCTCTAGCCGGCGAAGCCACGGCAAGGTTACCCGAGTGGTCCTCGCCCCCCAAAGAGGCTGAAACAAACGTAGGCAGAAATGCATGTTATTTCAAGAGCTATATTTAATCTGTTAGGGTGAAGCCCAGCACAAAGGTGACTGAGATGCAACACTCCTCCGTCCCCTTCACCCTAGATCAACCAAACACAGCTGGGAAGATGGTTTTGTCAGTGTGCAATGTGACCCGCCGAGAACAACTTCTCACCTTTATCCTGAGAGCAAGACAGGATTTCTTCTTCTTTGGGGTTAGTCACCTGGGTGATAATGGACGGGTTGTCCATGGAAACTGAGTGCGCTTTCACCTGGCTATTTCCCTCCCAGAGGCAGCTTTGGTGGGCACTTTTTGATTGGTTTTCCTTTTAGGAAATCGAGAGGCGGATTTATACGGGGGGGAACACTCCTCCTGGAACGAAGCCAAGCCACCCCAGAGGGCGGGCGGCCGGCCGGGGGATGCGAGAGCCGGCCAAGCGCGTCCGGGTCTCCTCTGCCGGTCTTCCGCGGGCGGAGGGAGTTGGAGGCGAAGCAGAAGAGGGGGGGGGACCGCGTCCGAAAACTGCCGTGCCGCTCGGAAGGCAAAATTAGCCCGGCCCCGCCGCGAAAGGCTGCGCCAGGCGCAAAAACGCCCGCGTTAAAGCGGCAGGCCGGCGGAGCATCCCCT